TTTTCCAGCATCTGCAGTTCCTACTATCTCTCATATGTCATAAAGTACGTTGCCCCCTAGAAAGATGGCGTCCACGCATGCGTCCCGCGACTTATTGCCACCCAAAAAGATGTCGGTGCTAGCTGAGGCCTATAACCGCCTGAGGCCCCGCAGCCATTTCCCAGTTTGCCGCAAAGACAAGAGCGCGAGGTTCTAATGGGGTCTGGCAGCCAACACCAAGTGTTTACGAAAGTTACTAGTCCACATTGACTCCACTTCCACTCCCCCTCCACCACTTCCTCTGTTCTCATCCTTTACCGTGTTCACAACCTCTCCCACTGGGCCAGACTTCAATCACAGCGACACTGCGTCTGCGCGAATTGTCACAGACTATCAGGTCTGTCACGTCCTAGCCGCTGGCTCCACCTTCCGATCACTCCAATTGGATCGAGTACTGGCGAAACGTCATCCAGCCCCGATCACTCCTGTTATTGGTCTGCAGCTTTCGTCAATCAGCTGTTGCCCCATTGTGACGCGGGGGCAGGCACCGCCTTCTCTTAGGGTACGAAAGATAGAGTCCAGCATTCTCCCAGGATTGTTCAGAGAATGACAATAAGCCATTAGAGAGTGACGCAGGCTGTGGGTACACGGTGCCTCACAGCGCTAGGGACCCAGGTTCAATTCCGCCCTAAGGCATCTGTGTGGATGTTTCCGCCGGGTGCCCCGGTTTCCTCCCACGGTCCAAAGATATGCAGGTAATGTGGATTAGCCACGGGAAATGCAGGGTTACAACTGAATCAGTTATTGTCGTTCAATGTAAACGTACGGTCAAAAGTGTGTACCCTCGCCGTATATGCATGACATTAGAATAAGACAAGGAAGAAAAAAAAATTATGAGCCCAACTTCTCCTTCCACTGCCGCAGTCCCACTCAAGGGTTTCCAGCACCTCGCTATGCTGCTCCCAGCGTCCCGCTCTGGGCAGCTTCACTGGCCCAATCTCGCCTCCGCCGCCGTTGGTCTGGTCTGCCGTAGTGGCAGGACACAATCTGCGCATTCATCTCCTGCCACGTGGTTCCCGGTCACGACCCGGCTCCTTACGATTCCTTAGGTAGGTAGTTAAAAGGGGTGGAGGGAAGGGGTAGAATTACTACAGAGGGAGAGAGAAGAAGGAAGAAAAGAAAAGGAAGGATAGAGGATGGGGATGGTTCTGGTGGGATACTCTTCGAAGGGTCGGTGTGAACTTGTTGAGTCAAATGGCCTGTTTCCACACTGTAGGGAATCTATAAATTTGAAACAAATAAATGACAATTTAGAATCAATACACTCTTTGACCAGAAGCCTGTGTAGGTCAGTCAACACGTGGTAATGGGAGAATGGGACTTGGTACAAGAAACAACACAGGCAAT